TTTTTCTTCTACATATTTACTACAAATCCGATGATGTACTCAATGACTATCTATTGTTTTTTCCTCTTTCATTATGAGCAACTAAAGTTTTTGTTAGGGTGAAAAATGTAATCCAATTGGGATCCTTTATGTCTTTTAACTAAAATTCTTATTCTTTATTTTTTTTTTTCATGTGTTGATTGTACTATGAATTTAATGCATTAAATTAATTGATCACTAATTTGATGATTTTGTAAATCCTTTACAAATCGAGAGGTAAGTTTAGGATTTAAACCATATAATAAAATTTGATAAATTGGTATAACGTGTAGAGATACATATACTAATTATTGCGGTTATAATTGAATTCCTAGAACAAATAATTCATTTAACTAAAATTGATTCACATGGAGATGTGGAATTGAATCAGTTAAAAGAGATGGAAAAGTTGAATACAATAGAAGAATTCGACCGAACACTATATTAGATATGAATCATGATTTAAAATGTAAAGGTGGTCAATAGGTGAAATTATTCTGCCATAATATTTGTTCATTATTTAATCTCTAAACCAATCTTGTGTGCATCAACTTGTTTTCACGTATTTAGATTGAAAATCACAACATACAAATTTTCATTTGCTTTTGTCGAATAGTAGTTAGAAAGAAATTAAATTAAGTGCTAAAATATAGTCCTCATGGGAACGACAATCCGGACTTTTAGGTCTGCTTTATTATTTGTTACAAGTCGTACACATGCGGATATAAAATTGACAACAATGGAAACTAATGTGGTATTGACATTTGGCACATTATTATGTCTGCATATAAAATCCAGACTTTTAGGTCTGCTTTATTTAATTTTTTATTCTAATTTTCTTTATTTTCTAGTTTATTTATTTTAGTAACAAATAAAATTTCATAAAAATATTTAACTGACCCGACACTATTAAACTTGTCTATATTTGTTGTCTCATTTTCTATTGATATTAGAAATGGCCTATTAAATATTAATTGCAATCAACTTTATTAAGTGGCTTTTTGTCTCTATATGTAAGTCATTTTGAAAAAATAATATATTTTTGTCAATTTTTTTGTAATTTCATATAATTATCAGTTCGACTGTTTAAATTTTTAGATCTATGATCATGTCGATTTTCAAAACATTGCTCATCACCATAAATACTGATTAATAAAAAAATTATATGATTGTTGGGAAAATGTGCATAGCATTTACATATCTTTCATATTGGTGTTTTTTTTTTTTTTTTAATTTGTGTTGTTGATTTTTGATTATTGAACATTGAGATAAGTGCACAACTTATGATCGGGTTGACTCTAGCTAATCTTGTTTGGCTGGTATGATAAACATATTCGTCCAAAACATTTGAGCTACAATTTTTAATGTATTTTCTTATATATCATGGTCTGATTTCGCGATATACAAGCACAATTCGTATATTTTAGGTTTTATATCATCTCATGTATTTTTAGATCTGTTTAATTAGATGGAAAAATATGAGGATATGATCAATTAACTTTGTCTTTCCTTATTGGTCCTATATAAATCTAAAAAATATTTTAGTATATTTTAAACTATTTTTCTTACCACTTTTATTACAGATCCTTAGGTAAGAATTAATTTATTATTTTTGATGATTACTTTATCTTTAAGTAATGTTAGAAATCAAGATAGAAATTATAAGCTTTGAAATAAAAAGATTCATTCTTGTTCGTTAGTGATTAGGCTAAGTCGACTTCATGAAAGATGACATGACATGACATGATGCTTCATTGATACTTTTGAAGCAAACTTTTTCTTCAAACCTTTAAGGAATAAAAATAAATAAATAAATGATGATTGTGATCGTGTACAATAGAGAAGTGACAATAAAGTCAAGATCGATGAATTTGATTCCATTATCAACAAGTCAAAGAAAGTTGCCCTTAGTTCATTTGATTGCTATTTTGTTGATTTTGCAAAATTACAAAAATGGGATATTATTGTATTTTTTTTTTTTTGTCAAAATTATTAGTTGATTGTTTCATCCGTTGCATGGTCCGTCAATGTTTACCTTTGTGATTTACCATTTTATATCTGATGTTCATGTTTAACTTTGTTAACTAATTTTCGTACTTATCAAACTACAGTCATCGATACAGGATCAACTCGCACATACCGTTCAAAACCCTTTAAAACTGAGATTATCCAATTCTGACTGCCTTCTGTCTTGAGTCTTACTAGTTTAATTAAAATAATTTTTAATTAATCCATGTTTTAGTGCTTTCAATAATATTTCGAGATAACAGTTCCCAACAACAGACCAATGGTCATAGATTGGCCATACATGTATCATACGGTTGAGTCGAAGTAATACTTTTGAATAGTTAAATTCATGTGTAGTTCTATAAGAATTAAATGTTTGGTACACAATGCCCTTATTTGGCCCCTATCATAATGAGATTTTGAAAATAATGTATTTTGGAACAATAATTTTTGAGGGAAATGTGGGGTTAAAAAAAAAAAAGGAATTTTTTTTGTATAATATTATTTTATTGAAGAATGTATAGTTTGAAAAGAAGAGATCAAAAATGTATTAAATACTTTAATCAAAGATGTAATAATTAAAAATCAAATAAATTACACTTGTTTGATCAAGAGAGTGATGCTCATTTTTCATGTGTGTTTGCGGATGCAAGGGGTTAAAAGCCTAAGGCCACAAAACTTATTGTACAATTTTAAATAGGCAACTGAACTTTTATTCTAACACAATTAGATAATTAGATGTCAAAAGAAAAAATATATACTTTAATTGTTAATTTTGTTTCAATCAAATCAGTCGATTCAAATATGCTAATTAGCACACACTATATCGGCAACGGATGATTTTTGTCCAAATTAGGTTTAATTATATTATATAAATATTTACAGTGCAAGAGAAATCATAAAGAAACGATTGAATCTTTAGTCGCTTTGAAAATATTGAGTGTTCGAAAATGATCGAAATAGTTGAATAGGAGGAACTCTATGAGTGTTACCCTAGTAAATATCATTTACTTTTTCATTTAACACGATAATAATGATACGGTAGATATAATAATGGATTGATGAGATTTGAAATATAAAAATAAAAATACATCACAATTGTGAAAAAAATTAATTGACCTCTACAATTTTTCTACTCGATAGGATAATGTCATATAGGGTTTAGTTTTCTTAAAGCAGGATATTATGGCCCTATTTGATTTTGCTAAAAATCAAAATTTTAGTAAATTTTAATGAAAGTTAATGGAATGTGTGATTAAAAAATTAATAGAAGTTATAGATCCTATGAAATTTGTGGTTACAATAATTGTTAATTTTGTATTAAATTATTATCAATTTTTTTAGTTAAACCAAATGTGGCTAAGCCCATGGCGTAGTTAAAAATTATATTTTTAGGAGATTTTGACAAAATAAAGAAATGTATGGTTAAAAATTGATAAAAGTTGTGAATTTCATGAAATAATAATTAAAATTAATTGTTGACTTGAACTTAAATTTTTATCAATTTTTTTTAACTAAATCAAACAAGGACTAATGTAATAAACAATTCAAAATGGTCTAAAACTAAAGATAATCAGAAAAAGAATAGTCAATAAGCAAACATAATTTTCAAAGTATATATAAAGAATATATTATTCAATTTTATAAAACAAAAGAATAACATCTCACTTTCAAAAACCACCAAACTATACGATTGTATATTTGTGGAATGAGTGTTTGCTGTAAATATTGACTCTTTCGTATCTGTCATGTTTGAAATTTCGCCAAAAATACAATATAAATAGTTCGTGTCAAATTTGTTATACAATCATGTTTGACAAAGTGTACAATATGAAAGTTCATTTAACAATTTATTTATTTTTAAAACAATTTTTTCTTAAATAATTTTTTTTAAGCACACACGATGTACACTTGATGTGTACAAATAGCATTTTCTTTTGTTATATTAAATAACATAGTACATAAAAACATTAAAATTTTATCTATTTTCATACTTAGATATTTACTATTGTCACAAAATGACATGCTAGTAAAAATTTGATTAAAATTAATTCAAATTTAACTATAAATCTTAACCTTATATTCCATGGGACTCATAATTTTACAATTACATATTCCATCAACTTTAATCAAAATTTATTAAAAATTTAATTTTTAACTAACAAAATAGGGGCTACGTTTCTTGAAACGATTTTAGACAATGACATGACAATTTAATTTAAAACATTAGGTGACCTGAAAGTTGATTTAAATTCAACAAATGCCAAATGATCGATTAGACACACATGATATGATATGGCACGGTAAAACGATTTCGTTGAGGTGGCTTTTCAACTTTAATTCATTAAAAATTAAATCCGTGTTTGACTTTTATTTTTTAAATTATTTATTTAAAACTCGTTTTTAATCATACATTCTCTAAGTAAAATAATTTTACATTTGAATCTATAATCATTTTCATACCTTTTAACCATGCTTTAAAAAATAAAACAATAACTTCTCAAATTATCAAAATCAAACAAGGGCCAAATATAAATTATAAGATTAATATATTTTCATATTATACGACATTTGATAAATTGCGGGCTATATACGAAAATTTCACACTATAGAACTTTAATAAAAATAACTAGAGTATGTACCTAAGAGAAAATTGAAACTTCATGAATAGTTTACAAGTGCTAGCGAAACACCATGACTCTTAATTCAGCTTAAAGTATTGGTGACAAAAATGTCATAGGTTCTAGACATACATGGATCAACGAGGAGAGAGTTGAAACATTGTGATCAGTTTACAAGTCCAAGTAAAACGCTATAACTCAAGAATTCTATTTTAAAATTCTTGATTTTAGTTTGAATTATTGATTTAACCCAGAGTGTTGCCTTAGACAATCATAGATTTAAGTTTCATTGCAATCTATATAGAAAAAAATTCACATGACACTTAATTTGGCCTACGCATAAAAAGAAATACATGGTTCAACATAAGAGGGTATTCAAACTTCGTCAATAGTTTACAAGTCCCAATAAAACAATACAAGTCAAGAAACTAATTTTGAAATTCCTGATTTTACGCTCATCCCATAAAGTGTTTCCTCAACTGTCTCCAAATTTATTGGGAAGATCGGTATAAAATTATCATATCGAAATATGCTCCCATAATGATCCAAGATTGTCGTCGAGGAAGCTCATATTAGTTTGGCAATCATTGTCATAGGAATGGTCATGTTGGTGAGGAATTATATTTTGCCATTTTTCCATGCAGATGAGGGCCATAAGATTTGCTTGTTGAGATTGCATATTGACAATCTCAGCTTGTGCCATTGCTAATTGTTGTTGAAGTTCATTAACTTGGTTTTGGAGTTGGGAAATTGCTCCTGCACTTCCATACACTGGATCCCTTAGCCTCGCATTCGCCTCATAAACCATGCTGCTCACGGCATCAGCTCTTTGAGCTTCCGGCAATTCCTATTAATCAATTCATAAATATACACGTTATGCATTTTTTGATTAACTGTGTATATACTGATTTTATTTTATTTTATATTTTTTTTAATTATGTTTGGTTCACGTTTGTAAATATTCAAGCTACTTTTTGTTTACATATTTGAAGGGATCAACAAGTATTATTCACGTATCCACAATTTATTTCTATCTATTTATAATTTAAATCATTCATAAACACTTCCCAAACATGCACGCTTGGAAAGAGCTAGAGATTATAAGAAGGTTCATGTCTTTTGAATCATGAAGTTCTATTTTAAAATGTCAATATTTATGTAAGATACTCAATTGCTCAAATATTTTATATTGATTCTATTCTTATATATACTCGAAGCGAGTTATTTTGTATAAACTAATGTTATTTCTCATCATGATGATGAATCATCATGTTTAGATGACATCGAATGATGTGTCCGACAACATGAATATCATTCAATTTTCTTGAATTTAATTAGACTTTAAAGTAACCATGCTGACATATGGGGTGATAATCCATCATCATGATGTCAATAACATTATTATTTCTGATGCTATATAATTGCAAAATGTGACTTATGAACATCATATTATTTCTCATTTTTGAGCTTTTTAATACTTTAAATGGATCAATAGAGGTAGCATTCATGTTCTAATACATACATGCATGGATGTATAACATACATTCATACAACATAACAGAGAGAGAGAGAGAGAGAGAGAGAGAGAGAGAGAGAGAGAGAGAGAGTACCTGCAAGAATTTGATTATATTGCTGGCTCCAAAAACACGGTGAGCAGTGGTGAACTTGAGTGGATCATTTGGAGGAAAGTAGGGTGCCAAAACACATTTTTCTACACATCGTCGCCGCAATATCTTGCAAGCAGCGCAAGGGCTGGCCACCGTTGGTGGAGTCGGAGGAAGAGGAAAAGGAGAAGAAGGTGAAGTAATTGTTGTAAATGCTGAGTCGCTATAGCAAAGCTCCATGTTAAGGAGAGATAATATTCTATTATAATGGAGGTACTTTTTAGTAGTTACCAGTTACAATGTTTTGAACAAGATGAGATTATATATAGGCACATGGGGTGAGGTATGACCATTTGATATCTTATTTTTGAACAACGTTTTGCGCAAGATGAGAATATAAAGGCACATGGGTGGTTTTGTGGTTAGGGTGGGGGTGGGTATGGGGGTGAGAATATATGAGATATTATTTTTGGGAAAATTATTGGCTCACGTGGTTCTCGAAAAATTAAAATTAATAGTCATATATTAGAATATTTTCAAAATTAATTAAAAAAAGGAGTAAAAATCCAATAATACGTTTAAAATTTAAAATAGTCATATATTAGAGCATTTTCAAAAATAATTAAAAATAAAGAAATAAAATCCAGCAATACTTCGTATATTTTATAAGTCTAGTTTGGGCATGTTTCATCCTAAGTCTGGTTTAAGTCTAACATATCAAGTTTAAAAGTCAACATAACTGTCGGCATCTCGCCTTGATATTCATTCAAAGAAATATTTGCACTGACCAGTGACTTACATATTAGTATCTCAATGAATTTTGCAATAACTCATCCACCATAAAATTTAGAAAATTTTACATTTTGGGGGTGAAAAAAGTGAGACAGTATTTCTTTGACTAAAATAACGTAAAATAATATATGGAGAATGCCATTTGTACAGAAAATTTTCCATAGAATTTGGCTAGATTACTCTCATGTATGGGATCCACCGTGTGTGTTCTGACAGACTACTGTATGAAGCCTGCCTGTACACACTGCAGGATTCATAGTATATATATCTATCTTTATCCCATTTTCTTTCCTCATATTAGTCTTTTCCAACCATCCCATCGTTGTTTTCCATTTTCTTGGCAATTTTCGTGATTTTCATCAGTCACATCATTTCGATGTGTCGTGAGTGAGTATTTATTTACTACTATATTATCCATTAAAAGGGTTTAAGAAAGGAAAAAAAAAATTGTAAAATTCATATTATTGTGACATAACATGATTACTCCCTTAATTAGTGGTTACCGTAATATTATTTAATCCTTCATATTAAACACATCAGTTAAATCTGCAAAATATTTATAACCTATAAAAATTTGAAAAAAAGTACTTGTGGATCCATTGAAATAAATAAATAGAAATTATGTTCGACTATTTATAAATGATTTATAATCTTTTCAAACATAATTAGTTTCAAAGTTATAGAGGGTCATTTGTAATTATAACCCAAAAAGAGAGAGAGAAAAAAAAAAGAAATTCGAAGAAATAACTTGAAGAACTGAGCAAAATACTTGTGAAGTTCTCACGTCGTGAAGTCCTGTGGACTTGTAGTCCTTTTGGAAATAGATTGGTCAATTTAGTGGAAGGTTTATGCAAATGATCCTTTGTTTGGTGGAGAAACTACAAGATATTTATGTATTTATTTCGTTGAACGTATTAAAAACATTTAAAGATATTCAATCGCAATGATAACGATAACTATTACTATCAAAAATTTTAATGTGAACAAGCGACTAAAATTGATTACTTTTAAATTTTGTTTGAAGAATTTGAAATTATTGAGAATTGGGTCTGAATCAAGTGATTATATAAAAAACACATGTACATGTGAGCAGGAAGACATTTAGGGATCAATTTAAATAGAAAAATAGCGAAATTTGTCTAATTTTACATACTTTAAATCGATAGTTGTATGTCTTAACATATTATATACATTAGAAATTGATGCATCGTACGCAACCCATAAATTATAAATTCAAATGATATATTTGGCGTGTTAGATGGTCTTACTAATTATCTTACGAACTTTTATCTCTTATTTCTATCTAATCAAATTCTATCAACATCCAAATGTGACTATATTTAACTGCAGCTTAAGTACGACAAAGTGCAATGCCAAACATTCAAGACCGGATACGGAATTTGAGTTCTAAATCTGATTAAGTAAATTAGTTAGTAAGCTGTGTGACTAATTAAATTAAAAGCCACATGATGCCTATCCAATTGACAAATATGTGAGGTCGAGAACACGTTTTCTCCAGACTAATTGTATTATCTGTCAAAATTCTAGATTACTATGATTATTCTTCCAATTAGAGTGAGAAAATAAAATTCATGTGGGCCCCTAATGTATAGTACTTTTGAGTTCTAAGTCTTGGGAGGAAATATGAGAAAAGAAGGAAAGAAGAAAATCATTTCAGTCGTCACCAAAGACTCCACCTCCCCAGCGTTCCACACCTTTTGGAACCTGAAATGGGGGGTCTTGGGATAGAGAGAAATGTGAAACATGTCGCTTTGATGGAAAATCTTGTTTTCTTCTTCGTGTTCATCAAAGCGTGAAGACGAAGATTCCGATATCAAATATAATTAATTGAAAATTTAAGTGCTTATTTCATCAAATGTTGAGGAGCATAACTTAATTCTCCCATTAGTTTCAAAGTTCCTATGAATTCTATATAAAAAAAAAAAGGTTTAATTGATTCAAAATGTCAACCTACCTTATGCACACATATTGACGAGATCAATACACGATTATCAAACAATTGACTAAAACTATAAGCAAGAATTTAGCCTTAAAGTGAAACAGGCCCACACGGCTTGGAGTACGAATTGGGAGATCAAAGTTGGAGCTTAGCATATGCCAACGGATAATTAGTCTTAAGTGGAACACAATTTTTTCTGACCGTACCTTTCAAAATAATTTAATTAAGAAAAATGTAATTAAAAAATGAAGAGACAAAGAAATTTTGATTAATTGATGATGTCGAATGACAACATATGTTTTCTGGTACGAGATTATCTAGATAGGGCCACAGAAGGCAACCACTAATTACGGGGCATTTTTTAAATTTTATTCTTTCTTTATTACGAACGATTCAATTCATTTTATACCTTTAAATTTACTTAAGCACCACTATTTTTCAACTCTTACATCTAATTCTCCATAGATAAGAGCCGATGAACCCGCATAATATGCCTTATAAATACAAAAACTTGACATCTACTCGTATTATAGGGCCTTTTCTTCACAACAATCCTCCAAGAGTGTACAATGATTTACGAGATGTTTAATTATCCTACCAATCCTCCTCCTTCCCCCAACATCTCTTGATCGCTCAAAATATGGAATATCACGATTTTCTAACACAATTAAACTCCACCAAAAACTCCCCAAGTCATTTGTATGACAATACATCGTATCATATATCACTGGACACATAATTAATGAAAAGATGCATCTAACAAAATTTAGTAAGGATCGAGCGTTTTTCAATTTGTTCTAGTGTTCAAAACTTACCGTGAAATTACTAGATGCACGTATGATTTCTTGTCCTGCCAAACACAATGGTTTAGTATAAAGTGACACCAAGTCTCTGTATGTTGAGTACATACATATTTAGTTCACGTATGGCCTCATTTTTTAAAATTTATTTTTATTCACATATTTTATGAGATTCATAGTATTTCAATCATGCATTTGAACAATTTTTTTATCAAAATTTACTAAAAAATCTAACTTATATCCAAACTAAACGGAGACTTAGATTTTTGCAAACACAAATTTATAATAAAAATACAAATAAATACTAAAAAATATTAAAGTTTAGTCAAAGCCATGTAAATCATTACATCGTATACTCATTTCAAGCATCATAAAATTAGGTCGAGACTAGAACTAGCAACCTTTGAGGCAGCTTTGCAGTCATATCAAAAAATCATAAAATATATTTTTTCATGCAAAACGCACTAAATTCTTCCAACACCAGTTGTCAATCAATCGTCTTCTTAGTAATAGTTCAGACTTAAGTAGGAATAAAAAACTTGTAAGCAATTTATTTAGCCCATGTTTGATCATTTTTGAGAAAAATAATATTTTGAATAGTGATTTTTAGGAGAATATGTGATTAAAAGTATGAAAAAATTTTGAATTCACTTGCAAAATATTTTATTGTGTGTATGTGATTGAAAATGAGTGTATAAAAAAAGTTTTCAAATAATGGTTATGACACAGGGGCTTAATTGCATACTTGCAAAATATTTTATTGTGTATATGTGTGACTGAAAATGAGTGTATAAAAAAAGGTTTTCAAATAATGGTTATGACACGGGGGCTTAATTGCATATTGAGAAAATAAGGATCCGTTTGATTTCGAAGGTGGAATTTAGGTGAAAAGAAAACGAATTCCTGAGAATTGTAAATTATTGTGTTTGATTTGTATAATTTTTTACGTGAAAAATGTTGAAATAAATTTTTTTTTTGGTGTTCGTTTGGCTTTGTTTTAAATTTACTGGTATTGTGGATAAAATTTGTTTTCATTGCCCAATAAAAAAAATCAAGAAAATCATCTATTTTTTGATATTCGTTTGACTTTGTTTTACATAAAAATTGTCAATTTAGGGAATATCTTCTTTTACAATTGTTTTTAGAATTTGGTCCCATTGCCAAAAAAAAAAAAAAGATGGAAAACCATTTCCCAACAAATTGGCGAGAAAAGAAATTCCCTAGAAACCATGAAAATGTGAGTGTGAAGAAAAGAGAGACAACCAATTCCATGACAAATTTTGCTTATCAAACATGAAAAAAAGTGAAAAATGGAATTTGATTTCCATTTTCCATGAAATTGGAGTGCAATCAAACATGACCTAAGTTATTACAGCAATTTCAAGAGGCTCTTAAGAAGTGAAATGCACTATATTTTGAAGAGTCGATCTTTAAAATTATGTTTTAAGAGACTTTTCAAATAAACTTTTTAAAATAAAGTGACACACTCTCTGTAATCAAATGCATTCAAAATATTCTAATTTTCAGCACTCCATATATTGACCTAATTGAATAATCTATAAAAAGAAAATAGAGGGATATAATATAATAATTTGGAGGAAAATTGATGAAAATAAAAGATAAAAAAATAATAAATACATATTGAGAGTAATAAAATTAAGTGTTAAAAGATAAAAAGGTTGTTGGAGAATACAAAAAAAATTATTCACTAAATTTATAAATGCTCTAAATTGTAAAATATACTCTTTAAAAAAGGATAATTTCTTGGAGACGCACTTAG